CAGCCAGAGTGAGATAAGAGAAGTCAAAGACCAGCTCCTTGACCCAGAGTGGGTTTCAGGCCAGCATCACCTCAGCAGCTCCTGCAGCACAGACAGAAGGACCTGTGTTCAACTCCTGCTCTGTGTTGCTTTTGGCAAGTCATTCCACTTCTTTGGGCCACGTTGCTGATCTGCCTGACACTGAGCCCTCAGGAGTGCTGATTCACACTGGCATTCAGCAAGTACAAGAAATCTCTGAGCTGTTTAGGTGGTATGTGTGACCACTCCAATAAAAGACGGAAACTGAGGCCAGGAATGGACATGCCTTTCCTGATCACACCACTAGTGTGTGGCAGAATGATTTCAAAGTAGGCCAAACCTGAATCTGTACCTCTGGTCATTCTCATTCCTAAATGTGCTTTATGACCACCTGGGAAGTGTTTACAAAACTTTGATTTGTGAGCCCTGCCCCCAGATATTCTGGCTTAGGCTAGAGTGATGATGAGTATGTGTACTTTGAAAAATCTCCCCAGAAACTTCATGATGGAGGTAACACTGGCTAGGACAATCAGACACTACACCTCTCAAGGGCAATGTAGTAGGAAAGACACTGCCTCACAGATGGGGTGTCCCAAGAACATTGCTTCTGAATCTAGCCAAGCCTTCCATCTCACCACCAGTGTACAGGGCATGCAGGGGACAGGGGGACATGTGAAACACTAGGAGGAGGCCACACTCCAGAAGAGATGGCCCACTTTCTCCCACAATGCAATGTCAAAAAAGAAGACTGGAGGGGCAAAAGGTGGGCAGAGAGAAGTGAAAAATGGGAGGGAAACACAGGACAGCATAAACCACAAATGTAGTCTGGGATTTTAGATGAATTCACACCAACCCACTGTTCAATAACAGAACTGTAGCCATAAGGGGAATCTGAGTATCAAATGAATTTGGATGACACTGTGGAATTACTAATTTTGATAAGTTTGATATTGGCAGACCATCCATCAGTAAGAGAACACTGGCCCTTGTGTGAGAAAAGTGACGCTATGTCTGGTGTTTGCTTTAAAATAATCCAAGAAAAAAAACAAACAAACAGGAGACATGAGTAAATGACACAAGACAGATAGAGCTGAGGGGAGTACCTGGATGTCTGTGTTCTCATTATTTGGAAATATGTCTGAAATTTTCCATAGTGAAAAGTTTAAAAATAAAGCTCTCCAGGTGATTCTAAAGTATAGCCACAGCAGAGAATAATGGTTGGGAGGCTCAAAATGAGTACTGTTTTAGAATTGAGTTGTGTTTTATACACAAATGTCATTGTATGTAGTATCATTAGTGTATTTCATATGGTGATGCTCTCTGCAATTTCCATTAAGTAATTCCCTGCCTTTGCTGGATGTTCTAACCAACTCTGTTCCTACAACTCCCCCTACCCCTCCGCTGTTAGTAGATTTCTCTTACTGAAACAAAATACCTGAGAGAGTAACTTTAAAAGAGGAAAGGTCTATTTGGGTAAGTTTTAGAGTTTCAATCCATGATTAGTTGGCACCTGTATCAGTCAGCTTTCTCATTGCCGGGACACAATAATGGATACAATTTAAAGTAGGAAAAGGTTAATTTAGCTCCCAGTTTGAAGGGATTCGGTCCATAGTCTGCTGGCTCCAAGTGAGAAATATTATGGCAGAAGGGCGTGACAGAGAAAGCTGCTCAGTTCTGGCAGCTGGGAAAGAGAGCAGGGGACAGTGCCAGAAAGGAATGGATGAGGGACAGTATATTGTACCCAAGGCTATACATCCATGACCCACCCAAAAACATCCAGGAGAATGCACTACTAATCTGCTATGCATTTCTCAATCCAATAAAGCTAACATATCAAGTTACCAGTCACAGCATCACTGCTTTTGGACCTATAAGGAAGAGTGTCTTGGCTGGAAGCCTTTTCACTTCATAGCGCAGAAGCAGAGAGAGAGAGAGAGAGAGAGAGAGAGAGAGAGAGAGAGAGAGA